AAGAAATAGAAAAAGGAAACAGGTGCACTGGGGCTCAGCAAAAATTTTCCGAATGCACAGAAGAATTTATTTGTTATTATTCTACACCAGCGTTCATGCGCGCAAACCATTTGGTGAAACAGCTCAACCATGAAGAAGCGGGTAACCCGTAGTCCAGTTCAATGAAGGGTTCCGCTGCAACTGTTGACGACTCGTATCGGATGTCACGCATTATGCGCCTGACATTTGGGAACAGAAAACGTCACACGAAGCCAGGTTTGGATTGTAGGGTAGATGGCCAACCTCCTGGATGCGTTCTACAGTCAGAAAATCGCCGACATCATGGGACATATGTGCAGTTGCAGCAAGGTCCCTCTTACTCGAGTCCTTGGGCGAAGCCTGGCAACACTCTGCAGCACTTTCGGTAGACAGTGGGTGACACACCAGTCGCCAGTGGCTGTGCTTTGCCGTACGAGAAATGATATGGTCACATGACGGTTTTTGGCCATGGAGACAGCCATCACCTGCTTTGATGCACTGCGCTCCCATTGAAAGTTCCGTGACGGCTCCCCATCAACCGACCTTCACTGAGCTAATAGTTGCTTTGTCTCTGGCTCGGAACTGTACATCCAGGTGTCATCATCACTGATAATCTCCCAAACGGCATTGGAACGTCCACCGTTAAACCTGGCTAGCATGGTGCGACACCAATTCACCCGAACTGCTTTCTGTTTCTCACTTAGCCGATGGGGTATCCAGCGAATGCAAACCCTTCTGAGGCCGAGATCATCATCATCATCGTACAGCAAAATACACTAAAGCGAACTTCAGTGATCGCTGCCAAAATCGCAATGCATACAAGATTAGTGGTAAAATTTAAGATCGATAGGGATTGGATCTACTTTGAGGGACGGGGAAGGAGAAGAAGGTGAACCACTATGGTCAACAAACAGACACACAACGTTTCAAGCGTTCCGGACTGATAAGAAATGACAAAAAGAACGCCACTGTAGTCGGTTCACTGCCACATTGTAACGATTGTAATGATTTTAATGATTGTAGTAGTAGTAGTAGTAGTAGTAGTAGTAGTAGTAGTACGCACGGAACTCGGGACACAAACCAAGCAATAGGAATCATAGAACACGAATCAAAGATCAGCTATCACGAACTGGATTACAGAAGCACTGGACCACAATAGCGCCAGCTCGCAATAACCCACGTGAACGAGACGCGAGGAAAAGGCCACAAGAATGGTAGTTCGTAGTTCGTTTATTGGAAGAAATGAAGGCGATTGAATAATATGTACAAAAGAAGAGCATTGATTATCTAGGCTCCCACCAATCGTATTGCAGTATTGCCTGCATAATTCTGCTTCTGTCTGCACTGTCTCGCATTGGCTCGCACGATTCACCAACGGCGTGTAATCAGAAGCCGCGCGTGTGATTAACGTCACCTTCCAAATTTGGTTGATCGCAGGTGTCCAGAAACTGTAACGCGCCTCCCCAGGGTAGGCGTCATCACGCAGGCCTGGATCACCACATCATCCATGACAAAGTTGAAAAGGAATAGGGATGTAGAGCAGCCTTGTCGAACTCCATTGGAGACGGTGAAGGGTGGCGAAAGCTGCCCATAGGCCCTAACCCGACCCGAGGTATGACGATACAACTCTTTGTGGATCGACACTTACTACTCAGATACTTCATTCCTCAACAAACAGTTCCATAGTGCAGTCCTATCGACAGAAGCGAAGGCCGCGCGGATGTCTAAGAATACATTGGTCTTTGATAGGCACTGAGGTGCTCTAGCAGCTGTCGAAGAGTGAAGGTTTGATCGATGCATTCATAACAAGCGCGAAACCCAGGCTGCTGCTTGCGGGTCTGCTTCTCACGCACGGTGTAAAATCGGCGGTATCCTTCAATGTCTCAATGCTTACGTAGTCTCGCCCAAGTGGGATGGAGTGAGCGGGTGTTTGGGGATACATCAGACAAGAACTCGCTATTTCATCCAATCGAGCGCAGTAGGCTCCGGTGGTTAGGACACGTTTTGCATATGTCTGACGGTCGCCTACCGCAGCGCGCTTTGTTTGCAGTGGCTGTTAGAGGCTGGGGAAATCACGTGGAGGCCAGCAGATGACGTGGAGACAAGGCATGAAGAAGTGCACAGAGCGATTGGGTAGAGTAGGTGTCTCTCGTCTTCCGGGTTGGGGTCCGAAAGACTCCGAAAACGCATGGTTGGAGACACTAAAGGTCATGGCTGTGAACAGACAGCAATGGCGATCATGCTGTCACTTATTATCAGTCCAGAATGCTTGAAATAGTATGTTTACACAGTTGGGCTATGTACTCTGTGTTAACCATAGGAGTTCGCTTTCTTTTCCCGTCCCTAAAAATAGGTAAAATCCCTGTCCTCCTTACACATTCTCACTGCTGGTGACGAACGACCTACTCACATTGTTGTAAACCGTTACACGACCGGAGGTCTGTGAGTACAGTGACCTTAGTAGGTTAACGTACTTCTGGGGCATTCCTTTTCGAAAAAGGGAGCCTATTAGGGTTTCGCCGTCAACTGAGTCGGAGGCTCCTTTTAGGTCAAGGAACACTGCGATCGTTGGCCGACGGTGGGTGTGACACAGCTCAAGGATCTGACGCAACGTAAAAATTTGATCAATACATCCACGGCCTGAATTCGGCTTGCTGCTCGCGGATATTGGTCTCCCCTAAAGGAGTCAGAAGTCGAAGACTGAGGATAGCACTTTGGTGACGATCGGGATCAAACTTATCCTGCGGTGGTTTTCGCAATCGTTGCGAGATCCTTTCTTGAAAATGGGAACGATCAGTGACTCGCTCCAAGATGAAGGAATGTGCTCTTGCATTCAAATGTTGCGCAGTAGGGTAGTAACAAAGGTTACGAGGTTATCACCTCCCATCTTGAAAAGAGTGGGAGGGAGCTCATCTGACTCTGCTGTCTTTCCTCGCTTTAGAGCTTGAATGTAAGACAGAACTTCTGCTTCTGCTGGAGGATCGCATGACTGCCCACGGAGCTTCGGTTGCAGACGAAGATACCTAATTAGACGGAAAAGATTGCGACTACTACCAATAGACGCGGCCTTCTCCATCTCTCCACATTTTCATATCCACCACTTCTCACGGTCATTTCTCAGACTCCTCTAATAATGAAGTAGACTTTGCAGTTTAGTGATCTGGTGATGAACAGTTTCCGTATTGGACGGTTGTTGTCCCTCAAACTCCCAAGGTTGTGGTCAAATGACGACCAGGGACGAAAAGTACTAACTAGTTCAGTCGCAATAAAGGTGCAATTTACCCGTCCCGCACTCCTTGCTGATCGTCATCATATTGTTTCTATGTTAGAGATCCATTTTTTTCTTGATCGTTCTTTTTTTTGTTCATCATCGTTCAAATCGTATACGTTCATTGTTTTTAGACATGACATCACTCGGATTGCGTCCAAATCCAGGGTAACCAATGTGTCGCTCTGCTGGAAGTATAGTTTCCGAAAGTTCTTCACAGTGCCGGTTTAGCACCTCAATTTAATCGTATCGCCCTTTTTATTGGCATGAATATCAACATTTTTAAATCCGAACCTGATTGCGTCGATCCTTCTTTGAACGAGGACAGCGGTTTGGCAGCTGCTTATGACCTCGTTTTGGAACATGGTGATAGTTTTGATGACCTGACACCGGAGTCTCGAACAGGTACGTGTTTGAAATTGGCTTTTGTTTGTTTGCACTACTACGTCTATTTTGGAATGCGGTCCTGAGGTTGCATATTTTAAGGGGATGACAGTGATTGGATATGTTCTTTGTACCACTTTTTCACCAAGGGCCGTTGTAGGTATCAGTGTTTGATTTTCAATCTGTGAGCTTTTGTGGATAGTTTGTGTGCTCGCCTAGCTGTGTTCGGCATGCTTTTACACCTTCAGAGTGCAAAATATTGCTGCAGCATTGTTTCAACCTCAAACCTTGGTCTAATTGGACAACTAATAGAGGAAATGGACAAATTTTGTTATGTGAGCAGCTATATTTCATCCGGTGAACGCATCATAAATGAAAGATTGATTGATTTTTCCAGGTTGAGACATCTCAGGTGCCATCTGGCTGTCTGTGATTATTATATTATTTATTTTCACACACTTTTCTGAATCCAGACTGTGTGTCAAGCAAATCATGTCTGTGAATGGGTAACTAAATGCTGCAGAATTACGGCAAGTGCTGCTGTACAACGCAGAGATTTAGCCATTAAGAAAATAGGATGAAGGTAGACTGTTTGTGCTTGAACACGGCTGTCTTTGCCACATTGCACGAGTTTGATGGGGCAACCGGACGAGCAATGATGAGCTTAGGCGCAGTTTTAGGTAACCGTGGTTACCTACTGGAATACGCGGTCGATCTGTACGAGGCTCGTTGGGGTAGTAATCACGCATGTCACCAAATCGATTGCCACGGCGTAGGATGTTTACTGAGACGGGCAATAGATGGTCAGGGGCGGTCAAACTCAGATTTGGCATGAGGGCATGAAAACCGAAAACTGGGTCATATAGGTCGCTTAGAATCCCTGACTAGGAACCTCGGGAGTATCATAATCGATGGTTAGAGAAACTTAGTAATATGGCTGAATCGCAAATAGTGGTGCTCGTGCATCCGCTAAATATCCGTGCGACTCTAATGTACATGAATTTTTGATTCTCACTTTGACGCCACTCTCACCATTCCAATCTTCCTTCTACTCTTCAAATTGAAATGGGCAGTCGAAAGATAGCAACGAAAACTGCCGCTCGAGGGTGCATAGTTAATGTTCGTAAAACCGGAGAGTGAAGTTCAGTTCAGTTTGTACAACCATGCACTATTGTGCGCCGGTTTTGCTTGCTATCTTTCGACTGCTCATTTGGATGAACATTAGGAGAAAGACAGGCAAGGTTGAAAGTAGAATCGAAGAGAAAATTGAAAAGTTCAGTGGACTAATGATACAGAGAAATTGAGAAGATGCACGAACGCCACTGTTTGCGACACCCAGCCGTATCATTCAGTGTCTCTAGCCATCGGGTACGACCATCCCGAGGTCTCCACCCAGCTGAGACTAAAATCCACTCTGTAAATAGTAGTATATATAAAATGGAATTTGTGGAGTTTCCGTTAACTTAGCAGCTCGTTACCAGGTTCGCAATGCGTACTGTGGACAGGGATTTGTCAGCGAGTGAAAAGTATCTTCTGCATTTCTAGTCTACTTGAATTCTTAGTCGATGAAGTAGTTCTCCTAAACATTTCCATTCATAGTGAAATTTACTCTTTCTATCATGATCGCTGAGTATATATATATATATATATATATATATATATATATATATATATAT